TTTGTTACTTTTTGTTAAATTTAACTTCACGTGTGAATCGGGTATTAGCTGTCTCTTATACACATCTAGATGTGTATAAGAGACAGCGTTTATGGTTGAGAGAAACGACTATGTAAATGAGAAGAGGAAAGGTGGAGGGAGGTAAATTGTGAAGTGATTATTTGCAAAAGCAATTCAAATGCCAATCCTGAACTCATGTTTTATACAATTTTCCTAAAGACAAGAACAGGTAAATTAATGTTTCAAAGCAATCAAATAAAAAATCTAAGTTTTTATTATTAATTATGTACAAGGCCAGGTTTAATATAATGATAATTGATTATTATTATTTATATTATTCAATATTATTATTATTATTAATATTATCATTATCATTATTATTATTATTATTATTATTATTATTATTATTATTATTATTATTATTATCATCATCATTCCATTTCATTTATTTCGTCCAATTTTAAAAACATTATACAACAAAAACAAAAACTAAATAAAACACCCTTGACAGAGACTGGATTAAACAAAAGCAAACTTAATTGCTGTACAAATGTTCTCTGCCACCAAGGGGCACACTTAACAAACAATAATGAATATATATAAATATATCCAAAGGTAATGATTATTTACAATAAAAGGCAAATTAGAATATTAACATATAGAATTACAGAATTATAAAAAGTTAAATTAATCATCATCATCATCATCATCATCAATTTAATTTTATTTCATTTTATTTAGAAAAAGACGATGATTAATACTCGCAAAAATAGATTTTTAGTTATTAATAGAGTAAAATGAGAGCCACAGATGGTAAAAGAATCATTTAAATCCGATATGAAGTTCCTTATGAAGTTACAAACATTTAAACATAGAGCTGTATAGAGAACAATATTTGAGAAATCAGCCTTCAAAGATTATGATTTCGGGCATTTCTCAATCTCAGGCATATCGGCACAAATTGTTGTTTTAACATTGAAAATGGGGAAAGTACTGTAACAGCATAGCATGATGAATAAATATATAAAGCTTAGTTTAGTGTAATAAAACAGATTTCAAAAATGTTGACATTCCAGCATGTTTTGGCCATTATCTCTGAACACGATTTGCGACGAGTGACTGGTTTGGCTTGTCTTCAATGCCACATATTAACTATGCCTACTAATACCCGATTCACATGTACAAAAATCTTACCAAATGTAACAAAATGTAACCAAAAGTAACATTTTACGGCACGTGTGAAAGTACCTCCGTGTAATATCCTTGTAAAATCTCGGAACGTCTCGGTAATCTTTACCAGCCTCGCTGAGGCTGGTAAAGCTTCCGAGATGTAACATGGATGGATCTGCGCATGCGCAGGGATTTCAACACAACAATCTACTGTTTCACAGGGTTCTTTGAATTTTCTTCCTTCTGCATACGATTCTGATCCACTAGAAATAGATAGGCCTAGTTTTTCTCAATGATGAATGAATTACCCTTGTTATTGATGTTAATTAGTAATGGTAGAAGAAGAAGATATGAACGTCGGGATGGTGTTAGTACTATTACTAGTATTACAAGAGTCGACAGAAACGTTGGAAGCTATGCCTAGTTTAGTAGTAGTAGTACAGCAGTTGTAGGGTATTGATTGCTTCGAATGTTTACTGTGATGGTGAGTTCAACAGTGCATCTGTGACAGGGGTTCTCAACTAGGCCTAGGCTAGACATATATCGCAGTAGGGGAAAAAATGGTTCATTGAATAAACACTGAATAAATTTTACACAACCTTGGCATTACCTTACAGACGCGTGTGAATGCTTTTTATCTCGGTAGGAATAACTCGGGAGATCGCTCGATTACAATTTGTTACTTTTTGTTAAATTTAACTTCACGTGTGAATCGGGTATTAGTATGAGACAGGCCTACTTGCCTACTCAAATACTTAAGATACGTCATTTTAGTAGGCCTATTTGATTGATAAAAAACACTTTAAATATAATCTATATAAATGAATTAATTTAACTAATAAATGAGTTTTAACATGTGGACATAAATGGCTACAAATAATAAATAACAATTTTCAATCATATAAATCATTTTTATAAATGAAACTGACACAAAGATGAATGAATCCCAGAAAATTTCACAAGAATTGCGTATGTTGCTGGTCAATGAAAAGACCATGGAAACCCAGATCCAAAAAATCATTAGCGAGAGGAGACCTGTAGGCTAATTTAGCTTAGACAGATTCTTTTGTAAATCTAATTACTAGTGTTTAGTGGACAGTTAAATCATTTTACTTTAAATAGTTAAGAAGTTTTACTTCTTGTTTGATGGGATATTGCAGCTAAACCCTGCAAACCTTGCAAACCTCCAAAAACACAGTGCAAACCTCATCCATCATTTGTGGGGATTAGCAATACCCTGTTTGATGCCCATGTAGGCAAATGTTTTTATTGATGAATACGTAATATATCCTTCAAGAGAGAACACGGTATATGATATTTAATACTATTAAAATTTTTAAAAATATCATTATAATAATAAGCTAATATATAGATGGACTGAATATTAACATCATTTAAATGATATTTGTGAAATATATTCAACCATCCTTTAAGTAACTGTTTTAAAAAAAAATATAAACCAATTCAGTTACAGTGTTTACCCATGGTTTACCACAGTAAAAACGTATACATGCTTTACAATCTACTTGTTTTAGTGAGAGGGCGCCCTAGAAATAGAGCGCATTGCGTGTTGCAGAAATTCCATGTGAAATTCGACGAGCCGGATATCTTTTATAGTTAAAAGATCTTTGTTCAACATTCATATAAAATATAGAGGGCAGTAGACAGTTAAAATAGAATGTTCAACAGATTTGCTGGGTAACCTAAATTTCCCCTCGATTTATAACCAGGCAGTACTGGGTAGGGACAACATGATCCTGCTCAACAACAAGACAACCATTCGTAGACTAGAAGCCTTTGTGAAGAAAGCCTATCTAGTGGTGGCCTAGAGCGGCCAAGACCAGCTAACTTTGGCTTGATATTATAAAGGAATGTTCAAATGTATTAATAGAGTATACAATGTCCACACTGTATCTTTTATGTCAAGATTCATATTTAATGTATGTTAGTATTAATATTAGACTTTTATCATACATTGATTAGCAAACTACTTGCTAAATAAGAAAACAAAATTTTAAATTTATTTTTATTTCGCCTCCTTCGATAATCTTTAAGAAATAAGCAGGGCTGAAAATTAACCTCTAAACCATAGTGGCCATGCAGGGCCAGTAAGGAAAAAAATGATAGTGGCCCTTCCAAGGTTATACTGGTCCTATTTTTTTATGGTCCAAAATATAATTTTACAAAAAAAACAAAATCAATAAAACCAGCAAGATGACATTGGTGTAGTAATTGCTTTTAGCCAATTGAATCTGTCTTTAGCTAAAATCATTAGTCCGAGAAAAAATCCATTGTATTATTATTCACGATCGACACAAGAGTTTTTATGGCCCAAAAATGTGATTTTAGACCACATAGAGATTGGCAATCAAAATAACGTTATTTGATAGGCAAGTTATTATTTTTAGCACACCAATGAGGTACTGTACAGTAATTCAAAAGTTTTCTAAATATAACACAAAAGTTGAAAAAATTACAAAGGCCTAGGCATAAAGCATTCTCCTTCTAGTTTAGAACGATATCAGGGTGGGGCGAGGGGGGGGAGAAGATCGTGGAGCAAGGGAGAAGATCGTGGAGCAAGGATAATAGCCTACTTTGGGAGTTAGTGGCCACAATAGTGTCTCCAGAAAACCTGTATTTTATGCATTTTCAGCATAATTATGTATTAGGACATAAAGTTCCAACAAGGATTATTCAAAATTAGCTTGGGTCTGATCGTCTGGAAATAGGCCCAAATTTTTCACTGCAATGATCAAGGACTTACGATCTGGACCTACTGTAGCCTAGGCCTAGTAGTAGGCTATGCCTAGCCTTGGCGGGTTAAACTGCTACTACTAGGCCTAGGCGCCTACTGCCGTCACTCTGCTCTACAGTACCTACACCGTGTAACAGAGCAACCCACGTGGTGCATTCTTAAAATATTACACGCATTACTTAAATGTATTTTACATATCAGGCGAGAACACAAAATCATTGATTAAATAATTATGAATGACATTTCTACCACCATCGCATGCATAGACCTTGATCCTAGGCCTAAGCATAGATAGGTAGTCCTCCATGGATATTAAACAAGCTCGGAAGTCATTATGTACCCAACGGTCGGCTGCCTTTAGGTATACTTTGTCGCCAGTTTGCGCCCAAGGGGTACTCTTCCAGCTAGCCGGCTGTCGTGAATATAGTCCCTTCATGTAATCGTCATACATGAGGTGATTCACCTTTATATAGTCGTCGTCATACAGCCACTGCCCTGCATCCACCGCGTTAAAATAATGAATAACAAAATGTGAAGCACACAATGACGTTTGTATCTAGACTACCAATACAACAACACAAATAAACTTTGCATGGCTATGATGGATTGGTAAAAAATGGAGCTCGGACGAAAAAAAAAAACGATGTATTTTAGCAAGTATTTGAAAAATTTAAATGATTTTAAGCCTTCGCCAAAATGGCTAAATGTAGTTGGTTATTTTTTCACCAATTCAAAATAGTAAGGGTCGCCAGACGGGGCGATACCCAAAACATTTGTTATCGCCCGACACCACTGGGCGACCGCTAATTTCTAGACCTGAATAAAGTATGTGAAACAAGAAATAATAGAAGTCTCACATTAATCCCAAAACTTTTCCACTATCATTAGCTGTCATCTGTAAAATTGATATAAAACGTCAATTATAAGTGTCATATCTTTACCTGCAGTGTCTCTGTTGAAATACCTGAAAACTGTGAAGTGCTGGTTTTGTTTCCCGAAAGTTTAGGATTTAAAATATTCTCGCAGATTCGACTCAGAGTCTTTTCACCAATTCCTGGTATCTCCAGCAAGTCATTCAATGAATTCAAAGACCCTTGTGAAGTTCGAAGGTCAATAATATGTCCTGCAAGTTTATTGGAAACATTCTTTAAATTCTGAAAATCCTTTTCACTAGCATCATTCATCCAACCAAGAACAGTTGCGATTTGGTCAGTGTTCGGTTCGATGATCAGTTTCTTTATAGGTTCTTGGCTGCCTATATGAGATGGAGTCAGGAGCCTTTGATTACCATCCTGGTCTTGCTCCCCCAGACTCTGTGTAGTAGAGAGGCTGGATATATGATTAACCTCTTGGTCTTGTTCATCCAGACTTGGTGTATTTGCAATGCTAGATATGTAGCCATTCTTTGATGAAGAGCAGATGAAAACTTGACAAAGACCACTTTTGCAAAAAGTCTGGCGGAAGATCTGAGAATAAACAAACAAGAATTAGATGATAATAATTGAGCATAATAAAATATATATATATATATACTATATCTTGTATGCTTAGTTTGTAAAATTTGCTCATTAATACCACCAATCATTCTGTGATTTAGTAATGTAATTTAGTCAATGTATCATCATTTAATTGTTTACTGTTTTGATTTTGAGCTACAATAGCGCTTATTTCCCTATTTTAACAAACATAATACTGTACAGTGTATATCTTATATTCCCATAAGATATATTTTTATAACCATGGTTGGGTATATAAATACCCATGAGTTCAATGCTTCATAAATTTGTCATTATAGATTAGTCTAAACCTCCTTCAAAAAACTAATTTGCTGATATCATCACATTTGTAATTTTGTGACCTTGGTTAGTATATCTACTATAGGGTGTACACAACCCCCACTCCCAACTAAAAAAAAAAGCAACCCCCACTCCCAACTAAAAAAAAAAAAATCTCTCTCCGCCCTACCCCCACTAGAAATTTTCAAAGCAAAGAAATTTCACACATACATGTAGGCCTAGTTAAAGCCCCATTCCCGGCAAAATTTCAATTTTTAAGAAAAATCTAATTTTTGTATAATGTTATAAAGATTTATAAATATAATACGGAATTGCTAGTTTAACTGAATTTAGACATTCCTAAGAATGAAAA